CTGTGGACGAAGAAGTTATTGTCTTCCGTTTAGCGCCGAATTTCCAGCGTTACGGTACTGTATCTATACATGTGATTTCTTCACGGAACCTGGCTTTAAAAGCGACAGCGACCCAGCCTGGCAGATTCCGCCTGCCGTCACTCTCTCTCTCTCTCTCTCTTCTCTCTCTCTCTCTCTCGTCCTCTCTCTCTCCTCCTCTCGCTCCTCTTTCTCTCTCTTCTCCTCTCCTCTCTACTCTCTCCTCTCTTCTCTCTCTCTCTCTCCCCTCTCTCGCTCGTCTCTCTCTCTCTCGCCTCTCCTCATCCCTACTTCCGCCGCTCTACTCTCTACCTACTCTCTCTCTCTTCTCTCTCCTCCTTCTCATCACACTCTTCGTCTTCCTCTCACATCTCTCCTCTCTCTTTCTCTCCTCTCTCTACTCTCTCCGCTCGCCCCGTTGCTCGCTCTCTCCTCCTCTCTCTCTTTCTTCTCTGTTCTCTCTCTCTCCTCGCTCTCTCTCTCTCTCTTCTCTCGCTCTCTCTCCGCTCCTTCTTTCTCATCTCTCCTCTCTCTCTCCGCTCTCTCTCTCTCTCTTTCTCTTCTCTCTCTCTCTCTCGCGTACGCTCTCTCTCTCTCTCTCTCTCTCTCGCTCTCGCCTCTCGCAGCCTCTCTCTCTCCTCTCTCCTCTCTCTCTCTTTTCTCGACTCTCTCTCCTCTCGTCTCTTCTTTACTCTCCTCCCCCCTCCTTCTCTCGTCTCTCTCTCTCTCTTTGTCTCCGCACTCTCTAACCCCGTGAAGAGCCCCGTCAAACACGGGACAGCACATAATATAGCAGCGCCCCTGGTTGACAGAACCGAGATGAATCTTGTACCATTACAGTAAGCATAGATTATTATCAGAAGTAGATAATATGAAATTATATATCAATTATTCATTTATTATTAATTATTATTAATTCCTATTATCTACTTCTGATATTATACAAACACACGTATGTGTTTGTATATATCTATGCAGTAAGCGACTTAGCTGTGAGTCGTTAGCAGATAAATCTTCATTCTAACATATGTGGGTAAAACGCAGTCCTTTGGACTACAGCTTATTGATGTTCAGCGACGGCAGACAGACACACACGCACGCACGCACGCACGCACGCACGCACGCACGCACGCACGCACGCACGCACGCACGCACGCACGCACACACGCACGCACGCACGCACGCACGCAACGCAACGCACGCACGCACGCACGCACGCACGCACACACACACACACACACACACACACACACACACACACACACGACACGACACGCGACGACGA